GCTCCAGTCTTTATCCTTTCCAGCTCCCTAGTCCAATACCTTGAGACAGGTTCTTGAACATCAATCTCTACATTGTAACCTAAGCCAATGAAGCCTTAAATGAAACAGGAGCAGATCCTTCCTATTCTCAGGAGGGTACCCCAAGCATGAGGCTAGAAAGTCACAGTCATGTCTTCCTGCGGTCACAGAGCAGGATGTGGCTTACTAGCTCACCCATAGGATTTGGGATGGGAACTGTGACACCAGAGGACTGACATGTGCCCTGTGGAGGAGTATCATAAGTATTTCTAGGAAGGGAAACTGGGACACAAATAGAAGGAGGTTTCAACATACCTAGCAGGAAAGGCTGAGTTCGAAAGATTTCCTTTTCTCTCTCTTTAGTATTACTGGTTGTCTCAGACAACAATCTACTTGGCAACAGAGCTGCTGAGGAACTTTCTTCTGACACAGGTCTTTCTCTGCCCATTGTACAGGCTAGCAGTGGACCTAACCCAAACGTTGCTGAATCCTTTGCTCTCCTATTTACAGCTGAGTTTTCTTTACACTCCTTAATTTCTCACCATTTCCTGCTTTTCTCTTGTCATTCCAACTAGTATCCTTCAAGTTACATGCTTCCTTCTCCCTTTTGCCTGAGCACTGTGATTCAGGAAGCAAGGATGGTGGAAGATAGATGCACCAATTCTTAAAATGACGGTCACCAGAAACTGGAAATGACAAAACAAGACATTTTTCTCTACTCAAAATCCTTCAAGCAGCTGAAACACTTTTTTTCTGGAAGGTTTCAAACAGTTGGCTTTTGATGAAAGTAGTGATAGAAACCCTTCAATAATATTTCAAGTAATCACAGAATCTATTTCCCCTCAAGCTTCTTTATTTCAGAAGCAATTCCTTGTCCAAAACATCTCCAGGAAATGACATTTCAGCATGTGTACAGCACTGCAATAAAACAGCAACACACCCAGGAACATTTTCCAAGTTCACAGCAAGGCGAGCAGAAGATCAAGGTATTAAAAAAATGACAAAGGTCTGGTAGAGGAGACAGCCAGCTTGCTCTCTTGCTGATTCTCAGAGAGCCCTGTTTGGCTTCTAAAACCTTGACCAGTCTTCTAGAGCATCCCAGCTGCATCCAGACAAGGAAATGTGCTTGGGAATAGAAAATTATATTTCTTCTTGGCTTCTTCTGCCATGAAACTGCTCCTTGTCAGCTGTAAGAAACTATCCTCTCAACAGACAGAATCTTGCCATTTAGAAGTTTGCCTGTTCTCCCAGCTTTATAATACTTCACATTTTGCTGAGGGGGCATGGGCCCTGCATGGAAATAGGTTTCCACACTTCATGTAAAAATCTTCACTAAGTTTAAAAACATACAGCATACCTTTGACTGTAGCATGAAAAACAGTGTGGCAGATTTTGGTTTCTTTATCTAAGTCCCTGTATATGGAACTTCAGTGTCTGGAGAGTTTATGATGTACTGTGGGAGTATCATCACCCATCAAGGAACTTTCAATAGGATGTTCTGTGATGAAATAATTTGCAGACCTGACATCGAAAACCACTTTGTGCTGGTGGAAACTTCATGTCTGTCCAGGAGGAGAATTACTGAGAGAATTAGTATTAGTAGAATTAGAATTACTGGGAATTACTGTGAGAATTAACTTGTTTCTCTTCCTGCTGTACACTGGTATCCCCCCCAGAGTGTAATCCCTCTGTTTTTCTGAGATTATGCCTAGCCAAAGCCCATGTTTCATGTTTCACAGTGCACATTCTTTACACCTCCTTAACACACCACCTTCCAGCAGAAGAGTTCACTCAGATCAAACCCAATGGCTCATCTGGTGCTTCCCATCTGCAAACAGATCACCCTACCTGTGATCTTCTCTACCTGCTCTGGCTGCTTTACGAAATACCTAATGATGATCTCATGGAGACCAGCTGCAAGGCAAAGGCATGAGATGCCTGAATCAAACCCATGACCCTTACCTTTGTTACCAAGTCAGCACCAATGCAATGTCAGACTTTGGACCCTTCTGCAACCTCACTACAGGGATACCAAAACCAATGTAACCTATAAACATATAAACTCTATGAAACATGAACATCCTTTTGACCCTCTGCTTGTCAGTGACAATGCAGTAACCAAGATGGAGGACAGGGGACTTATGCTCAAATATCACAATTTGAGTATTGATGTGCTGAGAGCAGTCATATATAGTAAGCATAACACTGAGGTCCTCTATCAATCGAATTACATACTGTCTCACCTTGTGCAATTACCAGGTGTCAGAAAATAACTTTTCCTATTACCTAAAAGTTTTTTTTGGTCATTGACTACTGAAGTATATTTTAAAACATTCATGTCTGAATAAATAAGTAGAGCTCTTAGTCTGATAAAGATATGGATACAAAATGTTAACACTTGGAAATAAGGCAACCTTTCAACCTTATATGTCAGTTCAACTCTCTCTTTCTTCCTGTCCTCTCCCAGAGAAGAATCTCCCATTAATTTCAGAGGAAACTTCATCAGATTAGCCCATGTGCTTTGACCTTTACCACTTTTGACATTAAAAATAATTGAATGCATTGTTGCAACAAATAAGGGCCTAATAAAATACTTGTATTCATATCTATTTTTTTATAATTACGGATGTTCTGTGCAGGTGGGAAAGCTTGGGTGCATGCCTGCAGGACACTAATGGGAATGTTTTTTTACCAAGTGTCACATTTATCAGTGCATTAGAAGAAAATAAGCCAGTATTATGAAGTTTCATGCTGGCTCTCATTATGCCATCTCACAAGCTTGTCCTTTGATTTATTATAAAGATTAAATATATTTTCTCAATGAGATCAGAGGTACTAGACAAGAGGTCATGGAAATGCTGTCAGAAAAGTGCTAGTTTTCCATGTGTCAAATATTTTGTACTACACATCCAAGGTTCAACCAATGCTTCTAAATTGCTGGAGGGTCTTATAGGGTGCTGGTGGATTCCTGTTCCCCAGGGTTGGGGATGATGGACACTGTGAGGTCCCAGCTCTCACACAGTCCAGAAGCAAATCTCTATCCCTGCCTTCTACAGAGTGCTCAGCAAATTTGACATCCTTGTCAATTTTGCTGCAGTTAATAGCAGGGGAGCTGACAGGAATACCAATTTTGCAGAGCAGCTGCAGGATACTGTTAACTTACTAGAAATAAAAAAAAAATTCTTAAAAAAAAGAGAAAGGTTTTAGATTCAACTGAGATCAAACCTGGTACTGTGACTGACAAGTGTTCCTAGAGACTCAGCTTTTAAATTGGTTTTTCAGACACTGAACTCACTCTTACTAGGGGATATATGCTGGCATGTCTGGTAAAACTTCTTACTCCTCTGACAAGAGAAAATACATGCTTTATGTCTGGTTTTAATCACTGTGCACTTTCCTAATATTTTGGTAATAGGGCAAATCTTAGCAATACTTCTTTTAATGCCCAGAGTGGACTATGGAGCCATATTCCATCCAGGTTAAAACCAGTCAGTCTAACCACAGCAGTATGCAGCTCAGCTTCATCAGATGGAGCTGCAGAAACCATAAAAATCAGCAGTAGGCAAGCTTTGGCAACCTGTGGTGCCTGCTGAACAGTCATGGTTATTCTCCTAGTTGTAACCAACCAAGGCAGCATGCTGAAACTGGATTCAAAGCAGCTGTCACCACAGTGTCCACATATCCCTAAGAGCTAGATGGTTTTCATGGAAATCCTACTACACTACACTATGTTTATGACTGATGCAGAGCATGAAAGACAAGTCTTTTGTTTTGCAGAAAGATGTCATTTTTGGTGACAATAGATTTTCAGATGTCAAGTCAAAAAATATGATCATCACTCAGAGTGATACAGCCATCTATTCCAGTTCATTAGCTTTTGTCTGATGAATCAGAAAGCAGCCTAATCAGCACACAGTAAAGATCTCATTCAGGTACAAACTCTGAAGACACTTATTCTGCATTTAAAGTCGTTCAAGAATTCACTTAGTAAAATGAGATGGCTCACCCCATTATGGGCCACTTTCAGGAGTACAGGATTTGGGATAACACAGGTACACCCAAGTAGTGCCTAAAACCTTCCACTGTGCAATACACAGGGCAGAGAAGCAACTGGATTGTAACTCAAGTCTCTTCTTGAAGGAGCAAGATACTCACTGCTTCCCTTCTAGTTTTAGTGAAAACAATAAGAAATCTGGAGAAATTCCATATTTTCTCTCAGATAATCCAGGTTAAAGACCTGCAGAACCAAATGTCGTAATTATTTGCCATCATGAAAGAACAAAGAAAATAAACCTTCTAAATAGATTGCAGAGTTTTCACCATATACATCAATGTCTGCATCTGGGATTCTTGCTCAGACCAACTTACATTATAAACCCACATTTTTTCAGTTTTCCATATTTTTTTTTTTAATAAAAAAGGGTATTGTACTAGAAGTGGAAGAAAGCAATGGCAAAAGGAGGGTTTCGAAAGCCGAAAAATTCGGTTTTCTCAATAACACAAGGGACACTTAATTCCTGTCCAAGGGAATGAACAATTTCTGGTTATGCAAGTTACTCAACACAATGTCAACTTGTTTATCCTGTATTTTTCTCATGCCTTCATTAGCACTCAGATAAGCTTAAATGTGGCTAAATTGACCACTATACTTGACTTTTCATACTGCTTTTTCCTTTGTTCATTATCTGCTGAATCAATGTTCAAAGATTTCTTCTTGGTAAGGCTCTAGCTCTAGTAGCAGAACCTGAAAATACAGCTTTGGTGAACTGCCAATTTAATTGTAGTGCATCCAATGTGTCACTTTGGGGTTTTTAAAGAAAAAGTTTGTAAAAAAGTTAAAGATCTTCTCTTAGAATCTGATTAATCTCTCCAAGCCAAGCTTCAGGAGTTGAAATACATATAAACTGAGGCTGTATTACAAATTTTCAGCCTTGATGAGCAAAAGTTCCAGATTAATAAACCGATCCCAACACGACTGTTACCTGCTGAAGTGTGCTTAAATTTTTCACTCTTCTTCTTCCTCCATTTCCATGGCTTAAAAATTCTCCCAAGAGTGGCAAATTTGCTCCTTCTTCTGATTGGAGGCGTGTGAGTCCCAGGTACTAGAGAATCTGAACGCATTGCAGCCAGTCTTTCCACCTCTTCAGCTGTATCAGCAAGAAAAACAGGAAAACACAAGAAGGTGGAAAGTGAAATAAATGCTTTAATAAGTTATCAGAAAACCACACAGATGGACAAAATTTTTCATGGACACAGAGTAACAAAGGGAAAAATTTGTAGTCCTTCTTATTTTAACATTCTTTTTTTTTCTTTTAGTGAAATCATTGATCTACTGTAAAGAACAGTAGTAAAACCAAGATTCAATGAGAATATGGGTTATTATGTTATAAAAGTTATGACTTTTAACAAATTGTTCCACATTGCTCTAGACAGCTGGCAGTTCAGCCATCAGCCATTCCTGGGGAAGTGTGACAGAGAACAGGGAAGAGAAGGCTCAAAAAAAAAAAGATGCAATATAATTTAATAGAAATATTACATTTTTTTATTGCAATGGAAAGGGACATCTCCTTTAACTAATATGTACTAAGAGCAAGGACCCTGATAAATAATGATCCTTTGGTCATTACCATATCCATTAAAATTGCTTGAGTTACAAAAAGGAGCTACATTGGAACTTCCTAGTGAGAGAGAAGATGCTAAAAAAAAATATCACAGAATCATAGAATTGTTCGGGATGAAAAAGACCTCTAAGATCAGGTCCAGCTGTTATCCCAGTGCTGCCAAGTCTACCCCTAAACCACATCCTCAAGTGCGAGATTTTCACATCTTTTAAATCCTTCCAAAGATGGCAACTGCACCACTTCCCTGACAGCCTGTTCCAATGCTTTGCAACTGTTTCCATGAAGAAATTAGTCCTAATATGCAACCTAAAAGCTCCCCGGTGCTACTTGAGGCCATTTCCTACCACTGGTTACTTGGGAGAAGAGGCTGACTCCCACCTGGCTACACCGTCCTTTTAGGTCGTTCTAGAGACCTATAAGGTTCACCCGAGTCTCTTTTTCTCCTCAGAATCTCTCCTGCCTCAGATACTCATGATAAGACCTATACTCCAGAAGCTTTACCAGCCCTTCTCCAGCACCCCAGTGTCCTTCTTGTAGTGTGGAGCCCAAGTCTTGTCCCATTTTTCTGCCAACTCACTGCCCTCCAATTCTTATTCTTAGCTTTTAACATTTAAACTTTTAATTTTGGATTTTAATACAGTTCCCACTTAGGGCCAAATTCCCTTGAAGGGGATAGATATTTTTCACTCAGCTTCTGTTCTTAAGATTTCAGTTATCTGCAACCTTTACCCGGTAATACTCATGATAGTCTCATGTTATAGTTTATCATTACATGATAGTTTATCATGTAATAATTATGATAGTCTCAATACTGACAATAAAAACCCAAAACAAACAAACCCTAAAGAACTTAAATTATCCTTCCTACCTGAAGAGAACAAGAAAAGTCTAGAGATGATCACTTGACATAGTTATATTGCATGGTCCCCCTGTCTCATATTTGCAGGGCAAAATTTTGCTGATAGTTTTGGGAAATAACATCTCTGTCATTAGAGGCACAGAGAAAGGAAAGCCAGGACCACAAAGAAAGCACCAACAGAGGGAAGGTACCAGCAACACGAGATTGTCTCTGTGCCACAGCTTCATAGTTCAGTCAGCATACAAGCAGGGGTTTTGTGTGTGGTTTGTGTGGTTTTTTGTTTTTGTTTTTGGGTTTTTTGGGTTTTTTTTAATTTTTTTTTTGGGGGGGTTTGTTTGGGGTTTTTTTTTTGTTGGTTTTTTTTTTTTTTAAGGGATACCATTTCCCAGACTTGTGTTGTAACATGACACTGACACTTTCACTGATTTGAGTAGTCTACACACACAGTCCAGATCCATAAAGACAGGATGCAGACTGTCACCTCTCCAGCTCTGAAGACAACAGCCCAGTGTTTCTATTCACCTCTAGTATTTTAAATATTAACCTCAGGCATGAGCTTGAGCTCAGGAACTTCAGCAAGAACACCACTTTGAAGAGATGAACATGCCCACTCCACACTGACAGAATCACCAGAGATTTTGGCTGGCAAATTCTTATGTATCTCAATGGAAATTTTTTCAAGGCTTTAAGTGAGCCAAATATAGGTTGGTTTTCATGGGAACAGCCAGAGATGCATTTCTAACACAAAGGAGGTTTCATTATCAGAACTCCAACTGAACTACTATTTGAGTCCCTCATGTTTTTGCAAGAAGGTTGGTTATTTTGTAATTGCTCTCTTGTTTGTTTTGAATGTTAACATGCAACATAATCCTTTTTCCTCTAAAATATCAATGCCAGATACAGCTGCCTGTAACTTTCCAAAGAAGAAGAAGCTACCCATCAAGATAGAGTGAGCCCAGATATTTCAGTGGAAATGTTTAAAAACTGCTATTCTTTGGGGTAATAAAGAGAAAGACAGACCTTTCTGAGAACATCGCTTTTTAATTTAAAGCAGAGGGAATAAAAGACAATCAGGCCAAAGCATTTCATTCTGTTCCAGCTCTTTGTGCCTGACTGCCTGGAGAAATACCTTCTTATCCAAAGAACCCATTAGAAGGCTCTGTCCTGTACAGGGGCTGGGACATGCTGTATCAAGGCTGGGAATTGCCTGGTTATGCTGAATAAACCATATGGGTAAAAAGAAGAGGAAATCAGAAATTTCCTTATACTTTCTGATTCCACTGGAACCTGCTGGGCCTTGAAGACCAGCACAGGGTACAGACCACTGCCCTTTACATGCAGATCCAAAGGAACCACTCCTTTCCACTTCCTCCATTTTTGAGATGCCTCTAGTTCAAGCATGTAAGATCCCACTGTGTTCCACCACTGTGATTTTTAGATATGCTGCTAAAAACAATGGGCTGGTATTGTCTTTGGTGTCTTATTTAGGGGATGCAGGAAGTGGCCTGTTGAGCAAACTGTGAATGACACACTACTGTCACTGCTGAATTAGGCTTCCTGCGAATAAAGCTACAGCCGAAACATATTGAAATTCCGCTTGCTGCTCACCCTCTCTCCTTTTCACCATTACTGAGCCAGGATCCCTGCTACTCAAGTGCCTTTGTTATGAAATCTCAGAGCTGCAATAACTTCTCTTTGCTAGCTGGTCCTAACTGGTATTGCTGAAGCCATTTCCTGGAGAACTGACACCCCTTAAAGACACTCTCCTTTCACAACACAACTCTGTCTCACACCAGCTGTTCTCTCACTGCCCCTGGGGAAGCTTTTACCACTCAGAGTAAATGAGTATGGATTTACAGTCAGGCAAAACTAACAGTGGAGTCACAAAGATTTTACCCAGAGGGTGGGTTCACTGAAAGCCAAACACAGTGTCAAAACCATTTCCATATTTTGACTTCTCTTCCCTGAATTTCAGTATTGTCTTACACACAAATCTGTGGCCACAGAGTCCTGCAGTGCCTGGCATCAGTCATGAAAGTGTCCCTTCTCCTTCATCCTCTCCAAACATACACAGTTCCAAGCTAATGCAAGTAACAGCTCTTTTTCCTTCTCATTCGCATTTCTCAGAAAGACATGATTTTTTTTCATGAGAAATGCTCTCAAGAGTACTGCTAATTCAAAGCATAATAATCACTGGCTAGGAATAAACCACATTAGCATAAAGCCATGACAGTTTTAATACAGCAAGAATAAAAGCAGACCATGATGCAAGAAGCAAATGCCAGAATTCTGCGCTCTTCTCTGCTGCTGCATCTTTTGCTCAAGTTGGCCAGGTTTCTCTGCCTTTTTGGCTCATAATAACTATTGACTGGCTGTGGGCTGCGACACCCACTGCTGACAGCAGGCTCTGTAGGCTGATTTCACACCTTTGCTGTTCCCAAAAAAGCTGGTACTTGCAGGAATGGAAAGTAACCCAGACCTTGCACTTTTTTTTTTTTTTTTTTTTTTTTTTGTCTTGAAAGAGGAAAGCAGTACCAGCAGTCCCAGCCTGATCAATCTGCTGAACTGGGAGAGGGAACTGCCATGTGCATTAGTACCTGTAGTCACACTGCAGAGATGTCATCTTGATGCTGGTGCCACAAATGTGATATTTATGGGTCACAGGTGCTGCTGATACTCAGTGCTTTTGGGAACTTGTTCTGTTTTTCTTCTAGGATATGAGAGATCTTTCTAAGACACAAAGAAATACTGGGACCTGCACTTATGGCAAAAGGGTGATGCACTCCCCTCCCACTTTCTTCTGTCCAAGCTGTCATTTCAGAGCTAGCGATGTGGAAACTAAACCTGAGAGTTTTTCATAGGCTGTTTGGCTGTGAGACAGCTCTCCAGATTTTACTGTAGTTCTTAATACTCCTGAAGTTCATATAGATTTTAGATAGGGTTTAAGAAAGACTTGGGGTTTTAATGAAAAAAACCCCACCAAAAACTGAAGTACTTTGCATCCAAGTAACATAAAAAAAAAAAATTACATGTTTGAAATATATTAGAAAGAAAAGAAGAGGCCGGGCCATCTTGAACCTGTTCTGTATGTTCTTATAATTTTCCCACATCTTTCAGTAAGGTGTTGATTTCCAGAAAGTCTAGTAAGAGATAACATAGGGGTTGCCTACTTTTTGGATGTGAGAAGCAAAGCATGCAGATCAAAAGCCCTCCCACAGACAACTTAACTTATGAAGTTTTTCTGGAGAATGACAGCCAGTTTTGTCATTCCCACCACTGTCTGGGAATTACTTAATCTATTACAGCATTTGGGTACAAAGAGCAATTTCATTGCTGAAGGCCAAAGCCCACCCATTCCACTGGTGGTCTTTAATATTACCTTCCTCACTGGTAATCACACCAAGTTCTCTCTTAGACCTTTTCTTAACACTCATTTTTCATAATCAGACACATGATTATCTTAATCAAAAGGAAATGTACTTCACAAAGATATGTTTTAATTCTTCCTAGGAAGCTCCAGTGGCTACTTTGTGCTTTCTGTTACATTTGCATTACTACATCTGTAGTAACAGGCTGAACATTATCTTGGCCCTAAAGATACAATTAACTAAATGTGTCACATTATTCAATGACAAGAACTCTATATAAATAAAACCACCTAACATAA